GGAAATGGCAATAAGAAAGCATTGGCCATTGTCAATAGTAACGTCAAATATAGCTATTTTGTCGGAGATTGTCGATTTGCTATTGTTTGACGGTATCGGAGGTATTTTAAGTGATTTTTGTGGTCTAATAAATGTCGTATCCGCTACTTTTAGATTATTCATAATTCAACTCAATAACTACTGCTTTGATACACTCAATTGCTCGTTTTTATCGCTAACGAGCTTAGTAACCTCACCTTTTGCACCATCCCTATAGATGTTTGGATATCTTTGTCCGATTGCGTAATACCCAGTTAAACAAGCCTCTTGTGATCCAACCATGCCTGCTTTAACACCTAACTTGAGATTCTCAACATACTGACCAAAMGTATTGTTTAACTTGATCAGCGTATCACGAAATGCTTCCATCTCCTTGACTGTTGACGGCTTGAAATTTGCCAATTCATTATGAATCTCATTCTCGATATAACATATAGATTTGTAGCAAAACTGGTCAGGCCCCATCATCCAGTCTCCAGTRTARTAGTTCCCTTCACCGAATGATGARAAAGAGTTTTTCATAAAGAATGTGAGCTGAGCTAAGGCTTTCTTTTCTCGCTGCTTGAGCTTATTGGTATCAACTTTAAGGTTTTCTAATAGTTCTTTATACAGCTGTCGTATAGCATCAGTTCTGGCTTTAAGTCTCTTGGGYGTGTAATCAGTTGGTATGTAATATTTCCGCAATTCCTTCTCAGTTACTCCTGGYTTAAAGTGAATCATTTCAGGAGTCAGTTTGTAGTAGCTATCCTGAGCTTTCTGTAAAATCTTCTCCAGCCCAATTCTCTTTGCTTCTTCTGAGTAACCACAATAGTCGCTAGATKTTTTGGGCTGGTTTGATGACTTTCGGCTGCCATGGACGAAGAAGACGATCCCAGCAATGAAGAAAATCAAGCTTATCACACCAATGATGGCAGCAGCGATAAGAATCCTCTTCTTCGTCATTTTCGGTGTCTCAAGCCTGGAAGATATCAAAGTTAAYGAGGTTCATTTGAAATGATSATCAAAGAGCTCGCAAAAATGRCTCTGCGTTCAGTTGTTTCCAACTCTAGTYTACTGAACGCATTACGTCTGCCATATGGATTTATCTCTGCGGGGTAAAGAATGGAGCGATTTTAATAAGACACGTGGTATTTTCATCTCTTTGAGGCGAAATAACAACACGAATCTCTACAGAAACGTGTGCGGAAGACTCTACGTTGACTGCTCTACACTAGAACAACTGTGTAGACGATACAGACTATTATACATCGAATCTGCTGCGAAACTCATGAAACCCATCCGTTTACTATCTGTACTAACATAGTTTTCTCTAGACATAGAGTATTGGCAGCAAGGTGGACAGATTACCACTCACAGACATCATAAGACGGATTTTGTATGATTTTCGGAAATTTCGCGCCATAATTACTGTRCTATAACTGTTATCTCTTCTCTATAGTTGTTTACTATACCAGTAGAGCCCGACGGAGCCGCTCTACACAAAACCTGCTCTACATCAACATTTTTATCTGCTTGGCAAAATTATTAGTTTATGTACTTAATGGCATTGTGATGAGTAAAATTCGAGCTGTCTGACAAAATGTTATACCAGGCGAGTATTGATCGTGTCGTTTCACAAAAACCTACTTTGAGACGCAGTTATGATCCAACACTACATGAGTTTGATAAAGATATTGAGTCGTTTCATCATGCAATATCCTAGCCACAACTTTAAAGTATTTCGTGAAACTGCATGAGTTTATTATTCATATGCTAAAAATATTACTACAAGTGCGACTAATGGCATAAAATGTTATTTTTTGAAGATACAAGGATATGTCAAGGATAAACTATTATCATGCCACACCCAAATTATTAAATGTACTCAAAACTATGCATTCTGRTTAGAGATTTTTAAATACCTTGGAASWCTGTTTTGCAAAGCAATGCAGCGGTCTCCAATCAAAGGATTTCTTTCTTGAAGCGAAAGAGGAATTGAACTAAATTTCTCCTCCAGCGTTCAACGCTTTTCAAGAGAGATATGTTCACCAACAATATGAATATTTTYCAATTAAGAGCATGCGACCCCTGATGAGGTGAGTTACCTTTAGATTATTTTCCTCGCTACGGGACTCAATCACAACCACAACACTACATGTTAGTATTTTATTTCTAACGTTAATRCGAAAATATCCTTGACAAATAGTAAACTTTGCAAAAACACGGGGTTCCAATGTTTTCGGAAGTTTTTTCTCGGAGGATAAGATTAGTCTAAGATTGGTATGCATGAGCAGTTTATTTAATAACCTGAAATAAAACATTCCGAGTAAATTAAAACTGCTAGAGTTTCATTCTAATCAGTACTATGTTACTAAATGCTAGCATGCTATAACAAAACACAATGCACTTCAAAAGGATTGTAAATTGCCCCTATTGATTGTATCGGAACTAGACACATTTTGCATGCCAAAAAATATTATCAGACAAAGTGAAAATCCAGTCAATCAAATTAGTTCACATATAGAAAAGTATCGAAGCATCGTGCTGTTTTCGTATGATTTTAATCACTTCAATGAAATGATTTAATTAAGTTTTGATTTAGAGATGTTATTGCCCCCTGAAATACTCAAGCGTCTACTTGCAGATCAAAAGCTTCATCACCATTCACCAGTTCTAGGTTATCGAAAGGAAAACTGTGCAATGCAATGCAATACAATATGATATTTCCACACATAAGTCAAAATCGAAAAGAAAGGCTTGGAACGAAAATCATTACTTTTKCAGCCTCGTTTATTCTATCTTCTTTATCGGAGAATGTAAACAAATATGAATAAATGCTAACAACATTGATGAAACTAACGTTGGTTAACATAGATTAAAACTGTCAATTTAGCGGTTTACCATGACGATTTCTATTTACCATTTGCTGATCATCTTACCGGTAACTATCAGATTTGTCCATGGATAATGTCAAAAACTCTTCCTTTTAAAGTTATAAAATGTGTATACATAAATTTTCTTCAAGAATGTATTAGAACGATTACTGTTTCAACGTTGTTTGTTCTTGTCTTAATTTCGCGATTACAGCTGTCATAGTTTCTTGTGGTAATTAGAATTAAGTACTTATAGTAAAGGGCGCTGTCCAAAATCATGCGCAGTAGATGTAATCCTATGAATTTTTTTTTGATCAAAATGCATGGGCTATAGCAAATCAAAAACGCTTTCTTCAAGAATGTATTAGAACGATTACTGTTTCAACGTTGTTTGTTCTTGTCTTAATTTCGCGATTACAGCTGTCATAGTTTCTTGTGGTAATTAGAATTAAGTACTTATAGTAAAGGGCGCTGTCCAAAATCATGCGCAGTAGATGTAATCCTATGAATTTTTTTTATGTTTACCCCTAAACGCATTCATCGGGATATCAAAGGGCTATAGTTGACCGGCATCCCTTTTCGAACCCCTGTTTATGTTTCAGAATCAAAATACGAGGTAATTTAAGCAAAAACTTACTCTTTATTATCTCTTTATGTTATGTAAGTGGATATATTGTTAGATTAGACCTTAAAACCGATTAAATCACGACCGCGCTGAATGCTGGTTGACCAAGAGATTGTCTTCTGGGTGATTGATTTGCGACCAGGCCTGTATATGAATTCGCCAAGGTTGTAAGCCAGTGAGCCCGTGCATTTTTGTTAAGCGGTCATATTTGAAAAAATAAAGGAAAGGGAAAACCCGCAGCTCTCCTTTCACTCAGATAAACAGTACAAGCCGTGTTAAATTTATTTACATAAGTAAACAAATTGATTATAGAATTAACCTTTAAGAATTGAATGCTCATATGAAACATTTTCCACCTTAAATACACACGTGTTTTTCAGATGGGAATTTAGTCGAGGGTCTCAATGGGGTTAACCGTGAGCCGTGAAACGGCTAAAAAATTAGCCGTGAATCGTAAAAATGAGAAAAAATAGCCGTGAAACGGCTGAAAAATTAGCCGTGAGTCGTGAAAATGAGACCCCATTGAGACCCTCTTAGTCGAACTTTTTCCACGATGGAATTTTGTTTTGAGTCCGTTTCGACATAAACAGTCGCTATCAAGACATTACACGAAAA